CTGATATATATATATATATATATATATAATTAGTTTTTGCATCAGTACAGTTGTACTCTAATATATAACTGTGCCTGCTAGATGGCTGCTATAGTTGATTAGTCCAGTAGATGGCAACAAGCTCAAACTGTCAAGTTTGGTAGAATGCAGAATGCCATGTTGTCTCTACACTCAAACAAAAAAAAAAAAACATTTTGCATGTTGTCAATCCTTAATTGTGGTGACAGTTTAGTTTCCTTTTTTCCAGTCGTTTTTTTTCATTTATTTTCATCTAGCAATTCTGCCAATAACATACATCCGACCTGGCCTAGGGTAGCAACAATCACTTATTGCACTGTATCTGTGTAGGATCAATGTTGTCATCCTAGGCTGCTCCCTTTTTGAAGTTTTATTCCACAACTTCCATCCATTGTTTTATTTGAGTTTGACATGCCAGTTCTACTTGGAGCTTACAAAGGGCTGAAGACTACCCCTTCCCAAACCTACCACATGAAATGACACTGGACCAGTCACCCAGAGAAGTGTGTCATGTGCGTCTTCATACTCAGAAGTACCTGGTGTTTTCTTTGCTAAATGGTTCAGTGGGAGAAGAAAGAAAGCGTGACTCTGTGCTGTTTTTGGATGTACTAGAAGTCCATTCTAATAAGCATTTATATGTTATTGAACAGCTGCATTGATTTATGTCACTGAATATTCTATTAGAGTTTAATTGCAGCACAGATTTCTATTCACATAATAAATGTACTTCTTTATTCCTTTGCACTCTTCTTCTTCTAGTAACATCATCCATTTTACAGGAAGTCTCTCAGCCATGCGCTTTGTCACTGCCGTTCAATTGGTGCATCCTGAATTCGTAGAACCGGTTTCAAGGGAGCTTTGGAGGCGGATCTGGTCTGAGGTCAGTTCTGCTTCATGTGCCTATTTTTGTTTGTATACTGCATTTTACTTGTGTAGTGTGTAGAGTCTATATGGTGTACCAGCACTTATACAAGGTTATTGTTTTACAGGATAAAGATATTACAGAACCAGAGAGCATACTGGAGGTAATGACTGATTTATTATTATCATCATAATCATAGTTGTTACTACTACTATTATTACTCCCCTTCTAAAACGTGCTGTGTATAATATCTGTATAAAAGATATCAGTCTGACAGCTGTCACTCTTAAGTGATATAATTCAAACGTCTATGGAAAATAGACCATTTATAGTGTACATAGAGTTAAATCCACCTAAAGTAATAAAAACTGTTCGAGACAAAACAAACTTAAAATAAAATCATATCTATCTCAGTAAATATATCCACAAAAAAAAAAGCAACATGATACAGTGAAAAAAATCAAATGTCTTTCTCAGTGTTTTACAAGAAAATCCAGTGCCAGATTAAATGTCTTTGCAAGTGCTTCAAAAGAAAGTTCAGTGTCCACCAATACTTATTCCTCAATAGTCAAAAATGTTCTTAACCCTTGCAGTCGGACTACCCCTGCACTGCAAGGGTTAATTGCTCGTTTCTGTCTAGTTGCTAAAAAATAAGTTATACTAATCTGAACCATAGAGCCGGCTTGCTCTTAGACCGGTCCTTCCAGCCACTCTTTCCCTCCGCTGCAGGGGTCTAAGGTCCTGCAAACCATCACGTTCTATACACTGTGTATAGACGTGAGGAACATTCCAATGCTGACCAGACAAAGTAAGGAGCCATGTCAGTGGTTAGGGTGAGTTTAACTCTTTTTTTTATTTTTAACCTAGAGAAAACGAGCATTTAATCCTTGCAGTGCAGAGGTAGCCCCACTGGAAGGGTTAATAAAAGTTTTGCCCAGATTTCTTCTTCAA